TATACCTGTATATACTCTGTATACCTATACACATACGGGGGAGGGGTGGATAGAGAGGGTGCAGCAAGTCCAGTATACATTTCCATCAGTGAGTGAAGTAGGAGAGGACAAACAAGACCAGAATACTTTAGTTTCTTAACTGATGATTTCCCAAACAACCGAGAATATAAATTGAAACTTTACATTTCTGTAAAATGGGGCTCCCCCACTTCAACTAGACACTGATCTAAAGTAGATAATCTGATTTACTTCTTTATACTGTTATACTAAGTCAAATCTTTTTAAAAAATACATCTATCTACTATCTATCTATCTATCTATCTATCTATCTTAGTTTTTTGAGACAGGGTTTCTCTATGTAGCTCAGGATGTCCTCAAACTCACAGAGATCTGCCTGCCTCTGCTTCCCGACTGCTGGAACTAAAGGTGTGCGCCATCACTGCCCAGCACATGCTTATTTTTTAAAGTTTTTTTTTTTTGATGAAAAAAGTATATGATGTGGTGAGAGAAGCTAATGGGCTCTCACTTGAAAACAAGCCTACTTGAATCAATTAATCTGAAAACAATACCAGAATTCAAAATGTTCTATGTGGAGAATAAACAATATATACATTTCTAAAACTTTAAAAGATATATATTATCTTTATTTTTTCATAATTGAATTTTTCCATAAAAATGAAATCAAGAAATACTAAAAACAGCAAGATTTGTTTATCTTTAAATACCCAATTCCTGTAATGTGAATGAAATTGACTCTAAACTTTGTTTTGGTAGAAATGCATTCCTAAATTAAAGTTATGATTGGAATAATGATAAATCTGTAAGATAAGCTTTCTATGCAATTTCCAGATCACATGAATAAAAAGCAGTTTTAATAATTTCCATATCTGCATAAGATGTTCTGCTATCTTGGAATATTATGTGGGAAATAAGAATCTGGGAAACAATAGGCTGAAGGATGTTTATTCGGGGAGAAATCACTTACACCAGAAACAGATAACTGCTGCAAGTTTCCATTCCAAGGATGCCCCAGGATGCTCTCTATCCAAACAGGAAGTAAGAGAGCAAGCTGGAGTCTGGGACCCCAGACTTAGTCCCCACAGGTCATGCAGGCACCTGTCCCCACAACACAATAGGTGTGGTCAGTGCAACAGGTGTGGGCGGGGTGGATATCTCTCTACACTTAAGACCATTCCTTTGTATCCTGAAGAGGACCTGGGCACATGGAGCAAACTCTATTTCTATCAAAGGGCCATCACCCAACAAGTCCATCAGTCTTAACTTCTTCCTGGAAATAAACCCTTTTCACACATCATACATTAACAGAGAAGCACACATTTCAACAGGAAATCAACTCATGGGCCTGCAGCTTTCTCATGAGACTGTGTGAAGACCATAAACTGACAAACTTTAGTCCTTTACAATGATGTCAGCTTGTTGGTCATCTTTAGACCTCTCACAGGTTTATTTTTCCTAGAGGCGATTTCATTATATTGTCTAGTCTGGCCTTGAATTTGAGATCCTCTTCCTCAGCCTATGGAGAAGCTGAGGTATGCATCACAGCCTGGCTCTTTGTATGTATACACATGTTTACAAGGTTGTGTGTGCATTATGTGTGTATATGTGCATATACACAATTGTGTATACAGGTAGAAAATGATTGAATAAGGCACCCAGTATTGTTCTCTGACCTCCAAATGTGCAAGCATACATGACTGTGTGCGCGCATATGTACATGTGCATACACACACACACAGGTGTGTGTGTTTATGTACACACATATGAGGTATTTCCCATAAGTCTTGCGCATTTGCATACTTTGCCCCCCGTTTGTTATGTGGGGAGGATTAGGAGGTATGGCCTTGCTGGAGGAAGTATGTCATTGGGGTGGGCTTTGAGGTTTCAAAGACTTGTGCCACTCTGAGTGGGCCCTCTCTGCTTCCTGCTAATGGTTTGAGATGTAAGCACTCAGCGGCTGCTCCAGTCACTGCTGTCTGCTACCTCTGCTCCACCATCATGGGCGCTAATCCTCTATAAGCCTAAAATAAACTTTCTTCTATAGGTTGCCTTGGTCATGGTGTTTTATCATAGCAATTAAGAAAGTATCAATACGTTCTATGTGTGGGCGCTTGTGTGTACATAGTTGTATGTGTGTACATGTGAATATGCATGCATGTGCTTGCACATATAGAGTTCAGAGGACAGCACCAGGTGTCTTGCTCATGCACTTGAGTCAAACTTGCTACTATACTTCTGCTTCCTGTTTTGCTGCTTTGCTTTTGTTCCAGGCAGACATTGTTCTACACTGTTAATATAGTATTTAAACTTTTTAAATGATTTTTTATTTATTTTTTCTTTGTCATGCTACCATCTTGGTGCAAACTTAGTAGAGTCAGCTTCACATTTAAACTAAATTCCAGTCATATAAGGAAATATTATTTCTATACAGCTTTCTCTTATTGATCTTTTGGGGGTGAATGTGTTATATGAATATTATCTGCTAATGCTACAACCTTAATGTTGTATTTGTAGTTTATTCAAGGATTTTTATCAAAAAACAACAAAACCTAACATCTTGTGCATACACAGCAGGTATCAGACACTGTCCTAAGCACTTTACATAAATGAACTTCTTATATTCTCATACCTAGTCTGAGGCAATGGCCCCTGTTTCATCAAGTGTAAACTAAAGTACAGTAAACTGAACAGCCTGTGTAGTCAGCAGAGAACTAGGACGTCAAGAACAAGTCTGGCTTAAACCTAGAGGTCTGAACCACTTTTCTAAACTTCCTAAACTGAGTGGTGACTTTTCTCACAAGCTTTTTATTCACATCTGAATTACTGAATTAGGTATTTCACCTATCTTGGAAACATAGACAACAATACTGGTAAGTTTTGAAATGTTATACCTTCAATGTCTGAGATGAACTCAACTGGATTATGAGATATCTTTCTGTCTAAAGTACAGTGATGGGTTTCATTTGCTAATATTTTCCCTAGGATTTTGGCATTTATGTTCAAAAGTGAAATGGACTCACAAATTTCCTTTTTTTTACTGCTAGTTTTACTATCCAGATAATACTAGTAAACTCATAAATGAGTTGGGGCAGGCATTTGTAGACATTTCAATTTTCATTATCAGGCTGACTTACAAGGGCTGCAAACAGCTAGTCCAACAGTCTAGACTCCCAGGTAATCCAGTAGTGCTCACGGCACCTAAATAAATGCTCAGCTGTGGACAGAGGTGCTGAAGGGCATCGTGGACCCTCAGCACTAATCCTAGCTTGACACTTCTGAAATGACCCAAGGTGGTTAACCCTTGGCCTGAGTTAGACACTGATGGCTGTCTTTTATTCAATAATATTTATATACAAACAGAATCTCTGAATTCTACTTGTTAGTATTTTATAATTTATGAAACAAAACTTTAATATCTCTTTATTTCACTGAATTTATTTAATAGCTCTCTAAGAGCCATACTATTATCTCTGCCTTACAGATAATTTTTATCTATATTTTAAACTGGTAAGGTACAAATATTCATTTAGTAGAGACAAATGAATTAAAAACTGAATTTGGTTTCTTTATTCAGATATACTAGTCTCCCTTTATCTGGGTGAACAAGTTCAAGAAACTGAAGATAGGACCAAGCAATACACAGGACCAAGTAGCACACATACATATACATGCACACACACACACACACACACACACACTCACTATATGTACATTGTTTTTATTTCTCTACACACTTATAGTAAATATGACTTAAGAGATTAACACCAGTAAGTAATGTGATAGAATATACTTTCTAAAGAAACATTTTATTGTAGATGGAAGAGGGTGAATCATGAGGTAGATGCCATGTAGCTATCAGAAGGATAGGACACCCGGGCATTCTTGGGTAGGCCAATACCATGTGGGGATACATAGATTAATAGAAATGGGTTAATAATTAAGAGAGAGTTAGCCAATAATAAGCCAGAGCCATCAGCCAAAGAGTTTATAATTAATATAAGACCTGTGTATTTATTTTGGATTAAGCAGTTGCGGGATCGGGCTAGACAGAAACTTCTATCTACAATTTATTGTACTATGCTCACAATTATTGTGATGATTATGAGATGACTCAATGTCCATGTGGTAAGATAAAATGAGGTAAATGATGTAGGTATCATGACCTAGTTGTTTGGCTGCTAACAAAGGGTCATTTGCACACAAGCACTGTGATCATCTACTCTGGTAACTGAGACACTCCAAAGTCATGTCCTAGACTCAAGGGGCAAGGATAAGACTTCCTCATGTTACTCAGAACAGCATATAATTTAAAATCTACTCATTGTCTACTTCTAGAATTTTGACATTTCATACTTTTGGATCAGTATTAGCTGTGGGCAACTACAACTACAAATAGTAAAACCAGAGGTTAGGGTTTCATCAGAAATATTTCTTTCATATGTGTGTGGTATGCATGTGTGAGGAGGGCCAGCCATGTGTGTGCATGCAGAGGTCAGAGGTCAACATCCATTGCATGTCTTCCTCTATCAATCTCCACCTTATCTTCCAAGACAAAGTCTCTCTAGGAACCTGGACCATACCATCTTGGTTAGCCTGAACAGCTGATGAACCCCTAGGACCTTTGTGCCTTTACCCAGGGCTTAGACGCACACCACTGTGCTGGCTTTCATGTGGGGGGCTAGGATCTGAACTCAGGTCCTAACACTTGCATAGTGAGCGTTTTACCAACTTATCTATCTCCCTAGCCTCAAGAAAGCTTTGCTGTTTTGTTTTTCTTTTTTAAATAGGGGAGAGATTAGATTTTGTAACAACAAAGATAAGCATCCTGCTTGTCCCTGACAAGAATGAATTAATGAATTTTCAGCAGTGGGTGGAGCAGCCTCTATTGCTCATTGACAGTTATTGCATTTCTACTAGCTCTACCACATAGACTTAGATAGACAAAATGTTCAAATGTGACCAATGATTCAGAAATAGCTTACCGTAATGAAGAGCTGTCTGACCTTCGTTGTCCTGTAAAAGAACACAAACGATACATTTTAGGAAAGGTCTGTTAGAATGTTTACACATATACTATTGCAAACATACAGGATACCAAATTCTATAGGCTCATCAGACACAGGAATAGCCCTTGCTTCTCTGCATCTCGTAGTCACTTTAGATCAAGCTGTTATGGCACATAGCAGCAGTTACAACAGCAGGAGAGGAGAAACAGATCTATGGACAATGTAGCAGCTTGGTTACTGCATTAGGGAAAGAAAAACTATCACACAGCATTTACCCTGGACACCAGTAGATGCTGATCTCCAAGTTTGCCTCCAAATCTAAGGAATCCATGACTTTAGTAAGAGTTAATAACTTTAATGTCTTTTTATAAGATTCCAAATTCAAGGCTAAAGATAAAACATCATAAAGATAGGTGATTTCAAGTATGCAAAGTCCCAGTAGTTAAGAACAAGACTTCCCATAGTTTACACAGGAAATTATAACACTCTAGTTTTTCCTTTTAAAATACAGATGTAAAGCAATAGGACAGACTGTTACTTCTAAGTGTTGTCTCTTAAACTGAAAGCAGAAGGCAGAATACATGTAACAAACTATGGAAGCACAAGAGAGAGCAGAGTTTAGCAGTTACTCTGAATGCAGAACCTGCGCCATGACCCTTAGGCCACTGTGATAAAGGATGGTGTCTGGACTATGATCAAACTGTTCTTGAGTACCCTGTATCTGTTTTCCCGTTACTGTGGCTCCAGAACTTTAGGCTAGGGGCATCTCTATTTAATCTTCCAAATAAAAACAAGAAGCTGCCACAGAGAAATTATTTTCTGATTCAGACAGGGAGTAAGAAAGAAAGTCATTCCTTAAGGTCTTCTGGCACCTAGAATCCAGCAGGGATTGCAGCTGGTGAGGCAGGGGAGCAAGCATGAGGCAATGTAGTTTGTTTTCCTACCAGGGATTGTGCTTCTCATAGGATTCAGCAGTGAGGTGTATGTGGGTGAGTGAGACAAAACAGGGAAAGAAGAAACTGGGGAGGGGGTGGATAGGGTATTTGGCTGGGTGCCACAGTGGCTAAGTTCACGATGCCCATCAACAAGGATAAAGGTAATATGATTTAAGGAAAGTAAAAGTCAGGAAGCAGCATCCACAATTAAGGGAGTACAGATGGTCATGGGGTGGTTTGAATGAGAAATGTCCCCACAGTTTCAGGCATTTGAACACTTGGTCCTCTGTTGGTGCTGCTTGGGGGGGGGGAGGCGGTTATATGGTGCAGCCTTGATGGGGAAGCACATTGTAGGTGGACTTTGGGATAAAAAGTCTTTATGGTTGGTACGCCCTCTGTTCCATGCTTATTACAGTAAAGCACATGAGCTGTCAGCATCCTGTTCCAGCTGCCACAGGCTTACACTGCTCCATTGCCATGATGCCCCATGATGAACTCTTACCTCTGGAACCATAAACCCAAATAAATTCCTTCTTCTCTAAGTTGCTTTGGTCATGGTGCTTTACTCACAGCCACAGAGGAGTAATTAATATAGTTTGTCAGCACAGATTCTGCCTCACTCCCCTTTTGCTGCATTCTGCCCCCAAGATAAGGGAGAGAAGGAGGAGAGTTGAGGTAGCTGTGAATGGGATCAGAGTAATGTCAATGCAGGGGAGCATGACACTGATTCTCACTCCAGAGAACTTGGTCTGAATATAGCTGAGGGCAATTGAAAAGGGCAGAATGAGACAGAAAAAGTCCCAAGTGTAATGTCATATTCTGGTGGCAGAGGAAGCAATAAGCAAATAAATATATTTATCAACAGTCAATGAAAATGGTGATGTACACCTGTGGCCTTAGCTACCCATAAATAATAAATCTCATTGTATGACTACAAACATTTAAAGGATGTGAACAAATAGCAAAACTCACTTTGGGAGAAAACTGCAGTAGGAGAGAAGGGTATAACCACAAGAGTCAGGCAATGGTGCGAGAAACATCTTGCGTTCCCGCCTTCTAACTATCCCTGCTTGCCCTCCTTATGCTTTCTGAGAATCTTGACTAACACAGAATGCAATATACTTTATGACTCAAGCCTTGCCCATCTTTCCCTTGATTCTGTGACTGCCAGTTACGCTTTGCTCAAAACTTACCCTCAAACTCTTCAGAAAAAGCCAGGCTCTTCTGATGGTTTTAAAGATTCTCTTTGGTATATTAAACTTAAAAAGATTTACTACTTGTTTTTAACTTGTGTGTATGAGTGTTTTGCCTGGATGTATGTCTGTGTACCACGTGTGTACAGTGCCCACAGAGGCCAGAAGAAGGTGTCAGAAATGGAGTTGCAGATGGCGGTGAGCCACAAAGTAGGTTTTAGGAATCAAACCCAGGGCCTTTGGAAGAGCAGACAGTGCTCTTAACTGCAGAGTCATCTCTCCAGTAGGCCCTATATTATCTGAGCATTAATTAGATCCATAATCCCTGCGTGAGTTCAGGGAAAGGAGTGAGGGTGAGTGTGATGTGATTCTGGCTAACACTTTTCAAGTAGATTACTCTGTGTGCTTTATAATTTTGGGTCAGGAGCTCAATGGAGTTTTTTCTGTGAGAAATTCAGTGCTGTGCTCCCTGCTGCCCATCTGTCCTCCTGGGGTGATTGTGCCTTTGTTTCAGGCAAGTACTGCAGAGGTCATCAGCAGTCTGCTTTCTTAGCTTGGCAGAAGTTTAAAAGCTGTAAGATGTGCAAACTTCCCACTTCCACTACGACCGCTGGACTTCCAGCACATGTCAACTCCACTGGTGGGCAGGAGCTTTTAGGTCTACTCTGAGTGACTGTGGTGTCTCAGACAGCATCTTGTGGGTACTCAGACTGGTCATTTCTTTCAGGGCCACTGAGGGTTGGTCTAATTTTATCATGCTCTTATTAAAGCACCTTTAAAAGTTTATCTTACAGTTTATTATTTTGTCTTAAAGCTGTATTTGTTTTGGCTTTTGGATTTTTTTTTTTTTTTTTATAAGCTTGGCTATGTATTAAAGGAGACGAATTCTGAGTTATTTATAGTGTTTTTTGTTTGTTTTTGGTATTATTTAGTCTGGGATCTTGTAGTTCAGGTCACCTTCTCAGGGAAGCCACTGCCTTCTTGTTTGGGGTTAGCACCCCTATTTTCAGGGCTGTAAGCTTCCTATAGACACATCTCCAGAACCTGCCCAGTCTTGCATACTGTGTGTGATCAGTGGGTGTTTGTGGAAAGACAGAATGAGTCTTATAAGCCTCAATCATTTCTCATTGGCTTATTCACTAAACTCAAGTAAACTAATTGCTTCTGGTCTTTAAGTTGATCTACTTTTGCTTTGTGAAGCCTTTTGAAAAATTTCCCATGTATTTCCTAGTGTGAATGAAGCATGTCAGGCTCTCCAGTGAGGGCCTAAATAATAAACTATACCCCATTTTCCTCCTACACAGACTATTAAATTTGTGCACATTGTTTATCTTCTCATATATACTGTATAGTACTCTTTTTGAAAGTCTGAACATGCTTCCATTTTTCTAGTAATTTCTTTACAGACTCAGTTTTTTTCTTTTATTTCCAGATTATATGTCAACTGAGTGTTATTTTTCTAAAAAGTGTTGATGAAAACATTAAATTATAAAGTTCAGAATTTATTCACATAACATACTATTATTTTATTCTTTTAATGTGAAGTCACTGGTAATACTGCCTTCTCTTATTCATTAAACTCTGTAGTAACTCTCATTTTTTTCAATTGCTAAATACGTTTCATAAAATTAAACCAAAAGCCTTATTTCATATATATATATATATGTATATATATATATATATATATCTCCACATATGCATACATACATGTGCATACATTTATTAGTCATTTTAAACAGCTCTCATATACACTATATCATTTACATGTATACATAATAATGGAAATGATATGCTTCTAAGCTATCTTCTATGACCAAAAAAGTTGAATGTTACAGGTTTCTTTTCTCTTAGTCACAACAATTCTGATGCTCTCATTCAGTCTAGCTCTACTGTTATTCCTTAGGATGCAACAGGAACCATTACAAGAAAAACAGAGGGGCTGGGGAGATGGCTGAGTGGCTGACAGCTCCTGCCGGTCTTATAAAGAACCCAAGTTTGCTTCCTGGTCCCATGTGGTCACCCAGGGCCAGGGAATCCAAAGCCTCAGATTTTTTACAGGTGCACTCACTCACTCACTCACACATACACACATACACATACACACACACACACACACACACACACACACACACACACACGTTTAAAAAAATAACAGAACAGTAATAATACAGAGGGATTATATTTTTCTATGACATGGTTAATAACTTCTTTTGTTCTGCTCAGTATTTCACACTTAAAAAATTGTGTTTCAAGAGACTATATAATAAAGGAGGCACTAAAACAAAACAAAACACAAACAAAAAATTGGCTGTGAAGAATTAGATGTAATGTTAAAAATTTTTAAATTAATAATTGTAATTTTAAATTATGTCTAACTGTGGAATGTACTGCCTGTCAGGTCTGTGACTGTAACAAAAAATGATCACATTAGTCTAACAATTTAGAAATTTAAAGCACATCTTATTTTCTTAAGAACTTTCTTAATAGAAAGCTTACATGGAAGGTTCTGGGTATTTTCTGTCTTTCTTGAAAAGAAAATTTACGTACGGTAATACCCTATTCCAACTGGCATCCTTAAGACATGAGGCAGCTTATGCTAGCAGGTTTGCCAAATAATTGGAATTTAAGCATCTAAACATCAAAACAACACCTTAAACTCCCTTGCCCTCTTCTTGAGGCAGGGTCCCTCTACATGCTGTCTGTTCTGTAATGCACTACATAGAACTCACAGAAATCTGACGCTCTGTCTCCGAGTGCTAGACATTCCATGCCTGGCAGGTCTCTTTTGTACATAGTTCTTTTCACAGTATTTTACTTCTTCTTTACCTTATGGGAGACCATTTAAGTTTTTCTTGATGATTCAGGGTTAGAATAATCTG